ATGCCCAGGTTGGCTCTTTTGTATATAGAAGTTTCCTAACGAGTTCCAAGATGCTTGTTGCGGCTTCCTGCCCCCAATCCCCCTGCACGAAGCAGTTGCCATTCTCTGTGCCTGAAGGGATGACAGTCTTGTCTGTGGACATCCGGTCCTTTTGGGAAGTGGCAATTTACCGGGACGGTTCGCAGGAAGCCACAGGAGCTGAAGTAGAACCAGCTGTTTTGTTTGGTGATGTAGCCTCAGTTGCACTTCTGGAAAACGGGGGGCACTACGGCTGTAAACATCAATGTGCTAGGAGTGTAGCTAATGTTCTGTGGAAAGAAGGGAAAGGGGAATGTCTTGACCTGAGGAAGGTTGGTGGCTCTAAGATCAGAGTGGGTTTTATTCCGAACTTTACAGTAGCTATATCCAAAGCCCCAAACTCTATCCCTAAAATGGGTTCAGAATTTTGGAAAAGGTTCCTTTTAAAGCAGGGGCTAAAACCCAGAGCCAATTAACTACTGTACCCCCACTGGTTTCAGATCCACCAGCCTCCGTGGATCCTAACCTTCTATAGAGGGCTATTGTTGGGGAAAAGGTCAAGAAGGGATCATAAAAGCTTTCTTTCTTCCCCTTTTGTGGCCATAACAAGAATGGGTAAATAAATACCAATGACTTGTTATTTTAACCGGAAAACAGAAGTTGTGGCATAAAAGAAAACTAATTATATATGGATTTTTTTTTTGTGGGGAAGAGGACTGTGTGTGTGCGCACATATATAGGCAAAGAAAACTAATTATATATGGATTTTTTTTGTGGGGAAGAGGACTGTGTGCGCGCACATATATAGGCATGTGTATGTGTGTGTATGTACACACACACACACACCACACACACATATGCCTATATATGCACACACTCCTCTTCCCCACAAAAAATAATCCATATATAATTAGTTTTCTTTTATGCCACAACTATATATATATAGGAGGAAGTGGCCTGGGCTGTGTGTGTGTGTTTGTGAATCAAAAGAGCTTGCTGCACCTGCTTTGAGTAAGTGTGAGTGGCGAGAGGAGGGTGTGTGGAAATATTGGGGAGAGTGTTTGATAGTTTTGCAAAAGGGGGAAGTGGTCAGGCGTCGCGTGTGCTGGGAGAAGAGGACGAAAAAGCAAGGGGATCATTTCTGATGAGATCAGAAATTGGGGAGGAGGTTTAGAAAACAGCATAATTCTGTTCAAAGCAAGTCTGCAGGAAAAATGGAAGATGTTTCGATACACGGTGTACCCTGTATGTTGAGGTGCATTGAGGTCCCCATAAGTTGAGGCCCCACATATGTCAGGGTACGTGGAGCCCTCCATAGGCCAGGGTGCATTCAGGGCCCTGCTCGTATGTCAGGGTGCAGGGGGTTCCCCTCAAAAATATCCTTTTTTTAGTGATGTGGATTTGGGGTGCGAATGACGAATGTTGAGTGTGCAACTCGTCCTGAACTTGCTGAAACTACTGGAGCTGAATTGGAATTCAGATCCCTAAACGAGCCCCTTGGTGGAATAGTCTTCAGAAAGAGAGAGAGAGAGGTTGCCGTTTTTCAAAATTTCCATTCCAGATCGGGGAGAAGACAGGGCAGGAATAAACAGGCCCCCTTTGAGTCCGCTTGGAAAGTGCCAAGGCAGCGGTTTAGACTGTCTGAGCTTGTGGAAACGAGAGAGGGGCCGTGCCGCGGCGGGGACAGGAAGGGAGAGGAAGTGGTGGCCGGGTCACGGGGCTTGGCTTCGGGAAGGCCATGGGATGTGGTTAGCCGCAGGCTGCACGCAAGGCGAGTAGAGAAGTGGGGGATGGAGGCCCTGGAAGAAACCAGGGAAGCGACTGGCCCCACTGGGAAGCGAGGTGGCTTTTCTCCTGGTCCCCCTTCCTGCTCCTGTGCGGTTGTTGTGATACATTCTTCTAATGTCCCGGATAGGCTCCCCAAACTGGGTGGGCTGAAGGAAGCCCGTAGATCACATACCCATGTTCCCTTTATGCCTTCTGTTGCTTTTTCTTATGACCTACGGAGGTCCTTCTGAGCACTGAGGGTGCAGGCAGTGCTTTTCCTATAGCGTGGGTTCTGTTCATTTGTTCTTCCACAGGAGAGCAAAACATTTCAGAGGTTTTCTCCCACTGGGTGCGACGGGAAACATTTTTGTCTCTGTTTCGCAGGACGGGACATCGGGCAAATAGATAGGCAGAAGTGTGTGTGTGTGTTTTTTTTTAAATTTTAAAACATGTGTTTGCCACAAAATAAACAGATATTTTGCCTAAAAATATCTTGGATACTGTGTAAAATGCAAGAGGGTTTTTAATGCAAATATATATATTTATTTATTTATAACATTTATACCCTGCCCATCTAGACCAAAGTCTACTCTGGGCAGCTAACAATAATAGATACAGTGGTGCCTCACTTAACGACGATAATCCGTTCCAGGAAAATCGCCGTTAAGCGAAAAGATCGTAATGCGGAAAAAAACCCCATTGAAACCCCTTCAATGCGTTCCAATGGGGTCAAAACTCACCGTCCAGCGAAGATCCTCCATAGGGCAGCCATTTTCACTGCTTGTCTTGCGAGGAATCCGTCCCAGAAAACAGCTGGGAGCCATTTTGTTTACCCAGTGGCTATTTTGAAACCGCCGATCAGCTGTTTGAAAATGTCGTTTTTGGGAAGAATCAGTTCCTGAAGCGAAAAAACCCCATTTAGACCATCGTTTTGTGATCGCAAAAAGATCATCATAATGCAGTTTCGTCGTAATGCGGGGCAATTGTAAAGCGAGGCACGACTGTAAAATAAAATTTTATCTATTTAACAGTTTTTGCATAAAATTAGTTCCACCCCCCTGCTCCAAACTTCTTTTCTGGGCTCATGCTGCTGTTATTCATAAATAAGAGAAAGTAACATCATCATCATCATCATCATCATCATCATCATCATCATCAATAAATTAACAACAACAACAACAACAACAACAACAACAACAACAACAACAACAACAACAACAACAACAACAACAACAACAGGCCATCAAGTCAATTCTGACTTATGGAGACTCTTTCCAGGGTTTTCCAAGTAGAGATTACTCAGAAGTGGTTGATCCTTCCCTTCTTCTGGGGTTGCCCTGGGACTGTGCAGTCTGCCCCAAGGCCACCCAGCCTGGCTGTTTTTCACACTGAGGAATTGAACTCCCAACTTCTGGCTCCGCAGCCAGATGCCACAGCCTAAGGACCACCCAAATAACTGCTCCCTGTGGTTGCTGCAGGACATGAGAGGTCTTTTTACAATATTTTAAAAATAAATTACTGTGGGGTGGGGGTGGGGGGGCTACAAATGGAAGGGGCCCTTAGAGTGGGGGGCACTCCTCTATCTGAGGGAGGCTCTACAGACCTCTGGAAATCGAGTACCTTTGGTTTAAACTGTTGACAAAAGTACCTTAACTCTTGTAAGTCATTCCGACTATTCAGAAAAAAAATTAGAAAAGGCAGTGTGTTCATTACACAAAACAGAGGCAAGAGCAGCTGACGCCTTTATTATATAATAATTGTGTGCCCTCAAGTCAATTCTGACTCATGGCGACCTTTTTAGGGTTTTCCAGGTAGAGAATACTCAGAAGTGATATACGATTCCTTTCCTCTAAGGGGCGCCCAACCCAGAGACCTGAACCACTCAGCTATCCAGCCAGTTAATATAACCTACACAGAACACAAATAAACAGCTGTTTTATTTCACTCTTGTGCCAGAGTGAAAAATCTCCCGGCCGTCAGTGTCTCTGCTTCCAGACGTCCCGACCACATGAAGACGGGGAAATTAGCAAAATGGCAGGGGAAGGATTTGCCAATGAAAAAGTCATGGACGAAAGGAGGCACTTCGCTGTCATACAAGCCTGATGGTTTGTCTCTGCAATGCCCCCATTATGGGATGGTGGAAGCGTGTTTTCCATTGTGCACAAATTTTACACACCCGTGGTAGCTGCTTCACGGCTGCAAATCACTTCTTCCTATCCTTGCTGTGTAGCTTCTGTCTCTGATGCATAGAAACAAACACACACACACAAACTCTTTCTCCCCTCTGGAAGTAGTGAGATTGCACACTCTGTTGGGGAAGGGAGAGGGCAAAAGGAACCGCATTGGGGCCCCCGCCTGTTGCGGTTGGGTGGTGCCGGGCGAGCCCTTTGTGGCTCCGGACGTGTGACAGCCACTGGGTGTGCAATACAAAAAAGAAAATTCTTCGGTTTCACAATGACAGATGCCCTCTTAGTCTCGCTGGTGCAGAGGCTTCGCTCGGCAGCTAGTCCAAACCAGTCCAGGGCCGGGCGGTGGGAGGGAGGCAGAGTCTCCCTCTCAGGAAGGAGTGGTGACCCACTGGGTGGCAGCTCTGGTGGCAAGGAATTCGAGAGGCGCTGCGCCCCCAGGGGAAGAACTTAGGGGGGTGGGTGGGATCCATGGCACCCTCTCTTCCATGTGGCAAGAATCACAGACTGTGGAGCTGGAAAGCATCTCCAAAAATCACTTAGGAGCCTTGGGGTGCAGTGGCTAGACCGCTGTACTGCAGTCAAGACTCTGCTCACAACCCGGGTTCAATCCCGGCTAGCCAGTTCGAGGTTCACTCAGCCTTCCATTCTTCTGAGGTTGATAAATTGAATACCCAGCTTCCTGGAAATAGGGGAGCAATGTGTAGCCTGAGAGAGCTCTAAGCGCTATGGGGTGGTATATAAGCAGCAGACTTTGCTTTGCTTTAGTCTAATCTACCCCAAAGCATTGGTTCAGATCCTTTTCCTGGAGACTTTAAAGCAGAGTTTGGACGGCTGTCTGTTGGAAATGCCTTTGTCCTGGATTTCCTGAATGCCGGCGGGTTGGACTAGATGATCTTTTGGGTCCCTTCGGACACTCAATTCCTAAGATTCTACCGCCCGCACAGTTTCTGCCTGTGGCAAAATGTGGAGGCAGCCTTGGTGCAGCCTTGCCCTGCACTTCCTTAACTCTTGTCTCTTGCCGCCTAGACTTTCTCTCCAGCCCTCGGCCGCTGGCCACCCCAACGCTGCTGAGCTACCAGGATCAGCCCTGCTACGTCCCGGTCCCAGAGATGCTCTTTGGGAGCAGTAATGGTGGCAACCTTCTCTCTGGGCCTGCCGACTCCTTACTCCCGTCCATGGGCTCTGCCACCTCTCCCGGCTTGCCTGCTCCTCGTCTCCAGGTAGGGATTCCATCTTTCCATCTTTTTGTCCCCACAGGTTCCTCTTCGGATCACTTTCCCAGGATCTCCTGTAAAGCCATGCTCTCCCCCCTCGGCCACCAGCAGAGTGGGGGGGGCATCTCGTCCCCAAACATGGGCACACAGATCAAAAGGAGCTGGTCAGATGGAAATTAACAAAGGAAGTGCCTTTCTCCCCTTTAAAGCAGATCCTAGAAATGTTACTTTCTTGTATTGAACGATATTAGAAATCCCAGCATGCAAAAGTAGCATTTCTCAGTCCTGCCTTAAAGGGCTAACCTGTTTGATTGGGCATTCTCTTTTGTGTACTTTTTCAGGTGTATGTGAACACTCACGCCTAATCAAACATGTTAGCCCTCTAGGTGCCACAGAACGCTGTTGTTTCTGCTGACATGGCTGGTCCCCCACACCCCAGGAAAAATAATCAGAGGAATACTGGCCTTTACCGGAGATCAGGCATTCTCTTTTGTGTACTTTTTCAGGTGCATGTGAACACTCACACCTAATAAAACATGTTAGTCCTCTAGGTGCCACAGTACGCTGTTGTTTCTGCTGACATGGTGGTCCCCCACAACCCAGGAAAAATAATTAGAGGAATATTGGCCTTTACTGGAGATCCTGTGGAAAGGGGAAAGATATGCTCTGACCGAGTCACCAAATATGTAACTTGGCTGGCTTACACGAGCCACCCGTTGCTGCCTGGCTTGTCCGACGCTTTTGGGGCCATGCCTTTCAGCCCCATTTGCATCCAGGGTCTGTGAGCTGCCTCCTTCGAGCAGATGATGGCCAGGGTAAATCAGAGCTGGGGAACTTTTATCTGTTAAAAGAAACTGGCGGCGTGCAACATTATGGCAAGATGGCAAGACCCTCGCAACTGTCTTTGTGGCTTTACTGCAAAGGACTTTTGTTCCATTGCACACAATTTGAAGGCTGTTGCGTTTTAACAATGAAACACTCTCTCCATTCCAAAACAAATACTTCCTTCTCCCTCTGGACTCAAAAAGACTTAAAACTGGAACATTTCTTCCCCAAATGCCTCAAAAAAAGGCTTTTAAAAAAATAAACTTTGGAAGGAACATGAAAACACTGTCCAGAAATCTAACGGTCGAAGCGTCATTGCTTATACTCCTCATAGTTGGCCAGTCTCAGAATTTGGGACAGAGGGAGAAAGACGAGCCGCTTTTCTTTAACTCCTGGCCGTTTGCCGCTGTGATTTGCACTATAGCGCTTTAACTGTCTGAGCCATCAAAATCGTATTTATTGTTTTTTTCTGGCCCGCCGTGGATTCCAGTAGAATAAGCAAAGCCGTTGTTTAAGAACAATGTTGAAAGCCCAACGGAGAACCCCGTTTAAAGGCAAAGGGCTGGGCGACACAGTTTTGACTTGTTTGCTGGAAATTCAGCAGGCCTGGAGGCTGCCTGAAGTCAGTTGGGAGGAGGCAGCTCCGTCACCAAGGAGGCCCTGCAGAAAAAGCCCACCTATGCACACACCCCAGCCCTTTTTCTTAAGGGCCAAACTTGTCCGTTCCAAATCTGCCTGTTGGCAAGCTTCTAGTCCCTAGCGGAGCAAGAACATGCTTGCGAAGATTTGGCCCGTTGGCTTCTTTTTCACTCTAGTCCAAATGTGAGTTTGCCTTCTCTTCTTCTCCAACAGTGCCATCATCCTCCCTTTTTCCTTTCCAGCCTACAGGGGGTTGCTCCACTCAGCTCGGCTCTGCTGGCGCCTTCCTGAGCCCTGATCTCTCGCCAGCTCCTCCACCCCCGGCTCCCCCCGGCAGCCTCGGACTGGATCTCAAGACGAAGCTCCCGCTGCCCCACGCCTTCCCCAACAAGTGGCTCAACCTGGATTCCTACGGCTCTTACTGCCCTGCTGCCCCGCCGCCTGGCACGCCCCTTTTGGTCCAAGAGCCGGGATGCCCGCTGCCTTCTGCTCCTCGTGCCAAATCCCACTACCCGTCCTCCGCTCTGTTCTCCTGCCCTCCTTCCCCGGGGATCTCCACGCCCTGCTTCCCCCCCAGTATGCCAGGCTACAGCGGCACGGACCTCCCTGTGGGATACCCAGCTCCTTTCAGTGGCTCTCCTTACCTGCACCCCAGTGGGCGAAGCCGACCCGGTTTTGGTCCGGCTAGAAGTCAACCACAGCAGCCTGGCGATGCTCAGAGGCCCCAAATCAAGGAGACAAACTGCAAGACCAAGAGGTCTCAGAGAATCCTGGCTCCTCCGCTTGTCGCGACCCCCAACCCCTGCCTGACACAGCTGCTGGCCACAGGTAGGGGCCAGAGGGGTGGCAAGCAACGCATTAGTGCCTGCGTGGTATGCATGTCTGGATGTCCCTTTCCTCCTTTTCTAGGCTAGGGACATTCTGAGATTACAGCTTGGGTGGCCACTCCCACGCCACCCCCAATGAACCACCAGAGGGGGCCACTGATGTCCACGAAATGGCATCTGTTAAATTGATTTGCCCTGGTGCAAAAAGAGAGATGCTTTTTTAAATGATTTTGAGCCAGAATTACAGCCTGCCTGATATCTGAAAGGGTGGCGTGGTGAGGAGGTGGGAAGGCTGGTTTCCACTGCTCCAGAAGGCAGGGCCTGAATCAGGAGATTCAGATTTACAAGAAGAGAAATTTTGACTGAACACGAGGGAGAACTCTCTGTCATTCAGAGCTGTTTGCCAGTGGAAAAGAAAAGGGCTGGCTCTCCTTTGCTGAAGGTTTCAAAACAGGATTTGGAGGACTTTCAGTCAGGGGTGCATCGGCTGTAGATTCCCTGCCTTGGTTTGGGGGCTGGACTAGATGACCCTTAGGGATCTCTTCCATCTCAGCAGTTCTATGATTTTGCAATCTCAGCCTAGGGGAGAGGGTGGTGGCCGAACAGCCCATGTGCCTGCAGCTGAGTCTACAGACAGGGTTCAGAGTTTGTGTGTCCCCCCTTTTTCTGGTTCATGGTCTTCAAATATAGATTTTGGAGCAGAAGCCCTACGAACGGGACATTCAAGGGAATGTATGAAGAGGCAGAGATAAACGGTTGGCATTGTGCATTGCTGAGCTAAACAGAAGTGCATAAGCATAAATGGCTGGCTGTTGATGTAGAAGGATATCCAGTGGGGGGGATAAGATGGACTAAGACTCAGACCTGCGTTCGAATCCCCACTCAGCCATGGAAACTCATTGGGGAAGTGGAACTGGTAAAGCCACTCCTTAAATATCTCACTTATCTTGGAAGCCCTTTTCAGCCTGCTCTAAGTTGTTTCTGACTTAGCAGCCCAGAATAACAAGACGCTGGCATACAGGGGAAAGAAACTTAGAAACCAAGGCTAAATGGTATTCGAGAATTAAGGCACGCTTTGTGTTTCGCTTTGTTTTGGAATAAGTAAGCCCGGAGATGGTTTCTTGGGGCCCTTCTACGCCTAGAGAATGTGGTTTCGACAGCCTCCTTTGTTTCACCATTTTTCCTCTTCTCTTTTCCCCCCTCCTTTTGCAGCTAAACCAGAGCCCAACCTGGATGGCCTCCCTCCGCACCCTAGCCAACCTTCTGTCCCCGTGGCACCTGAATCCCTGGTAGGAGATGGGGGAGGCTGGAAGTGTGTGTATGTGGTGGTGGTTTGGTCCAGGAAGAAAGGCACTTTAGTGCTGGATGGGCAATGGGGCGTCTGCCCAGCCCACCAAGGGAGGGATCCCCCCCCCGAGAGCTTCATGTTTGAGGGGTGGTGGTGGCTTCCATGTACATCTTCAGCCCGGAGACCACCCCCCTGGGACTTTTCTTCCAAAAGAAATCATGATAGAAAAGAAGATCGATCCTGCACCAGGTTGGACCAGCCCAAACTTAAGGGACTCAGAAAGAATTCTTCCCGTAGGGAAGGCTTGGCACAGGTAAGGCAGGAACAGATGGCGAGAGGCATGCAATTGAAAGGTAGATGGCCACTGCCTCTGAAGTCTCTCTTCCTAGCTGTCCCGATAACAACTGTTGGGCCGATACTTTGTGAATGGTTCTCTCCCTCTTTAAACTCACAGTTCCTAGGGCAGGTCCGCAGGGATCTGTCTCATCCTGAAGATGGCGAGGCCATGGTGCCGGTGCCGGCTGAACTTGCCTCCCCCCCCCTTTCTTTCTTCCTGTTATGCAGCAAAATGCCTTCGGTGAAGAACCGGCTGGCTTGTTGCCCAGAATGGCTCAGCTGAGCCCTCACCTCTCTCCCACCTCCAGCCCCTCGCCGTCCATCCCGGCTGCCCCCTCGTCAGGAGCCCTTCTTGTCCCCAAGACGGAGCGGCTCTCCCCCACCCTGGTCTGTGGTGAGCAGCAGTTTCTGTGGGGGGCGGTCGCTCTGGGTGGCGTGGGTCTCGGCGAGGCTGCACTGTAATGAGCCAGCTGTGACGTGAAAACGCTCTGTGCATGGACAGATAAGAGTGGTGTCTTCTTCGCTCTTCCCTCTCCCCAGGCAGTAACCGGAAGATGTCAGGACAGAAATCCCCAGTGCCCCACGAGGGGCTGATTTTTCTCCCTTCCTATTCAAGTAGCCGGAGCAAGAGTGAGCCAAGCAAGGTAAGGAAGGGGGAAAAAAACCCACCTATGTTGTGTTTAGTAAAAGGCAATGTGGGGTATTGGTTAGAATGCTAAGGACTAAGAACATCTGGCTGGAAGTCCCCTGCTTGGCCTGTTTCTTCAATTGCCCTTCCTGCCCCACAGACGGAGAGCCGCCGGATCACCCACATCTCTGCTGAGCAGAAGCGCCGGTTCAACATTAAGCTGGGCTTTGACACGCTGCACAGTTTGGTGAGCACCCTGAGTGCCCAACCCAGCCTCAAGGTGAGCCGAGACTGTGAAGGGGGGTAGGAGTGGGAGCTAGACAGGGCTGGGAGGGCAGCCGTCAGCAATGGGACTCCTCTTGCTCTCCTCCAAACTTTCTGGTGAAGTTCTTCGTCCTAACCAAAGGTGCAGGTATCTCTGTGAGCTTCTCCTCATCTTCCTTCCCGGCCCCCTTTCCTTTCGTGCCGTGTCTTTTGCAGTGCAAACCAGAAGGCAGGGATTGTCCTTTTTGTGGCTTTTGCGAGCTGCAACACAAGCCTTTGGGAGATGTTCAAGCAACTTTAAAATGTGTGTTAACAAATGATGATTTGCTCTTTATGAACTACTTCCTTCCTCCCCAACCTTTTCCCATCCTGAAGGTCAGCAAAGCCACCACCTTGCAGAAGACCGCCGAATACATTTGCAAGCTGCAACAAGAACGGGCTGCCTTGCAAGATGAAGCCCAGCACCTGCGGGATCAGATTGAGGAGCTGAACGCTGCCATCAAGTAAGAGTCAGATTGGCCGGAAAGGGATGGAGGGACGAGGGCATCAAGTCTTTCATGGACTGAAAGCGGTGGCCTTTTTTAATGCAAGGAAAAAAGGACCCCAAGACCAGAAGGCTGTAAGCCACAGAGGCAAAAACTCTATCTCAAGTCCTAGATTTGGTCAATCTGGGCCCACTGTCCACAAGCTTCTGATGCAACCACTAGGATTCAGATTTTAAATGTCCTCTGGAAGGCCAAAGAGTAGTTTGCAAATAGGAAAGCTGTAGTCTTGGACCTTTCTGCAGAACAGAGATGGGCTTGTTTTTTTTTTTAAGGGTGGGGAAAAAAAGAAAAGAAAATATCCAGGTTTGTAATAATTGACAACTGGTTTCACCCATTGCTAGAAGAAAGATTGCCTTCGGAAGGTGGAGCAGGCAATGAAGTCTACTTCCTTTGAAAGTTACTTTACAGAGGACTTTAGAGGCTTCTTTGTCAAGGGTTCCCAGCCACCCCCAAATTTAAGACCTTCATTTATCAACTCTTAAGGCTGGTCTGCTGATTGTTTTTAAAAAAAGTCATAGAATAACCACCAGTAACAAAACAAGTTGCTTGTTGGGCTTTGTAGTATTGGAATGATAAAATAAAAGGAGTTGCTGTCCGAACACTCAAATGCATGAACAGGAACAAATCACTCAGCAAACGCAGACCTCTCCGGAGGGGTAACGCTGATGGCTTGTCGCTGGTGGCCACAATATCTACCACGAGTCTGGAGGCACCTTAAAGACTGACAAGGTTTTATCGGGCAGCAGCTTAGATGGAGGGCAGTTGTTCCTCTCCATCACCAGCAGCCGAGGGGTGGTTTCATGCCTGGCTTTTGAGTCTGAGCTCAGGGTGCCCCACCTTTGCCCATGTCTCCCTGCTGTGGGAAAAGAAAAGGCTCTCTTTCTCTCTCTCTCTCTCCAGCCTGTGCCAGCAGCAGCTGCCTGCAACAGGGGTCCCCATCACCCGTCAGCGCTTTGACCAGATGCGAAGCATGTTCGATGAGTACGTCCGTTCGTGCACCTTGCAGAACTGGAAGTTCTGGGTTGTATCCTTTCTCTGGGAGATTGGCGCAAATTGCATCTCTCTCCCCCTCCCCATGTGGGAACCGTGAAGTCGGTAGTGGCTGGCTCTTTGCAAAATAGGGGGGGAGGTCACATGATCACAGAATTGTAGCATCCCAGGGTTCACCTGGGGTCATCTAGTCTCACCCACTGCTGCCAGTGGGGGAAAATCCCCAGCTCAAGCATTCCAGATAAGACGGCTGTCCAACCTCAATGGGGAAACCTCCAAGAAAAGAGAGCCCAACAGCTCAGACTCCACACACACCCTCCGGCCAGGAAATTCTCACTAAGGTGGAGTCAGGTTGTCCTTCGAAGGAGCATGAGCCCAAGGGGAAACTGATAATGGGGGGGGAGAGCAGGGATGGAGCACATGTTCAGACTCAAAGCAAACCCCCCACTACATAAATGAGAGGTTTTGTCCCTTAACAGCTCTTCCACAATCAGTTCAGTATAATCATGCGCCCCCTCTTTGAGTCCTTCAATGGGATGGTCTCCACCAGCAGCCTTGAGAGCCTCAGCCAGACATCGCTAGCTTGGCTGGACCAGTACTGCTCACTCCCGGCACTGCGACCCAGTAAGTAGCCCTCCTTCTCCTCCTCAGCTTTGGCTTCCCATGCTGAGAATCAGGGTCGTTTTCTTGCTTCTCCTAATATATTTTTCCTTCCTGATCTACTAAATATAGAAATTTCAGGCAAGTAAAAAAAGACTTACCCCAACCTGGTGCCATTCCATTCTGTTGGACTACGACGTCCATGATCCTACAGCAACGTTGGCTATGACATTGTGAGAGCCGTCATCAGACGCATCTGGAAAGTCCCAGCCTGAGCTAAGGGTGGTGTAGAGCTTGGGTGGGAATCGGCGATCAAGGAAGGCCAGGAGAAAATCTGGGCAAAATGCACCGTTCCAGATGTTAGTGTCACAACAACTCCCAGGGTTCCTCATCATGGACTTGGGGCTGGCTGATGGGAACCGGAGCCCAACAGCCATCTGGAAGGGTCTCGTTCTGCCCCAAATTGAGGCTGGTTCTGGTCCCATTGCTCACAGCCTGGAGCCCATCCTGAGGCTTCTCCCTCTTTTTGCTTGTTTGTTCCCACAGCTGTTCTGAGCTCCCTCCGCCAGCTGAGCGTCTGTACCTCCATCTTGACCAATCCAGCAGGCATCCCTGAGCAAGCTGCCCAGGCCGTGATGGGAGCAGGTCCCGATGACACCTCCTAGCCCAAACGACAGGACCCGAACGAGATTACCTGGGTGACAGCAAGATCGTCTTGACAAGCAGGCGCTTGTCCAAAACATCTCGGGAGCAGTATTTCTGCTGGCTGGCCTCTCCTTGCTCCAGGAGAGGATGCATCCAGAGCACAGCTCCTCATCCCAGGACGCCCTTCTTCTTGTGTGCTTTCTCCTGACTCTTTCTTGCTCTGAAAGCATGGCACAGTAGCATAGCTGTCAAGAACCACATTGTGTGAGCCCTACCGAAAGAGAGAGAAAAGAGACACTGTTGCATAAACAAAGAATTCCATATCGACTAAAAGACTTTAAAATGGACTTTGGAGAACTGCCAGTCCCAATAAGAGGGATTAAAATGACTGCAGAGGCGTGGTTTATTCTCTAATGTAGTCACTCTCTGCTAAGAAATCTCTTTAAGGCTTCTTTGCAAAGTGGTGCGGGTCTAACCTTCAAACATCAGGCAGATTCCACCGTAAAAGCCTTGTGTCGAAAGAGGCCCGGGGTTTTTCATTTTTATTTTTTCTGAAGCTGATTACTAGAAACACTGATCAGCATCATGTGGGTGAGAGCAAGCGGACGTGTGACCTGGCAGGTGCATTTCAACAACATGGTTAGATTGTGGGGCCTTCTGTATGTTGTTGAGTTCCACTGTCCATCAGCCCTTGTCAGTGGTGGGGGATGATGGGTATTATTGTTCAGCAACATCTAGAGGACATAGGTTACTCAGAGGTTTGTATCTCTCCCCCATGAATGCATGACAATAACACATGAGAACCCTCTACAGTTAATGCAAGGTGTATTATGCAGGGCCACATATGAACCGCAGCCACGTCCTACAGCTCTGAAGTATAGCCCCCATTCCTATTCTCATGTTGTGCCCAAGATGGAGGAGACTGTAGTAAAGCCCACTGCTCCTATTTAAGGTTGAGGAAGCTGAGAACGATTTATGACGACCCTACAGTGCGGTTCTTGCCCTGTAGCATGAAGTGGGCTCAAAAGCCCGCTGGTGTAAGGTCTGTTCTGAATGCATTTTCCCATTCCGCAGCACTAAGGACAGGCTGGCAAAATTCACAGGCTGATGGCAGAATTTTGTGGCGACCTTTGACTTCGGTCCTGCCTACCGGCCTCGGAGGATAAAGCTGCTTATTTGTTGGGAACCACCTAGGAAGCCAAACCAGTCACATCTTTATGCATGGGAAAGACCTGAGCAAAACCGATCCCATCTCACGAGAGCCTGGGGGAAGTTATTATTGCTGCTGTTATTGTTATTATTTGGACTCCCCTCTAACAGGCAGGTCGGGTGGGGATTCTGGGAGTCGGAGTTACAGAGCGGACTCCTCTATGGAAGGAGATTTCTGCGGGTTCAGATCCAAGCCTTACGAGTTCCATTCCCATTGTATTGCAACCACCCTTCCAGGTAGGGTCAGGCTGGGAAGGGAGGGAAAAAAGAGATGCGTGTCATCTGGAAGAGTCTCACCGTTAGAGGAGGATGCCCGGATCTTGACCGCATGGGCGCTTCCTCCATCAACCGTTTGACTTCAGAGCCGCTGCAACCTGGGCAAAGGAAGCCCCGGACTACAACTCCCACAACCCCCCCAGTGAGCATGATGCGGCCGCGGACTGGTGGGGATTGTAGTCCAAGGAAGGAACGTTCCCGATAGCCCTGCAGAGAAGTCTGGGGTGAGGATCCTTTCTAAGACCAGAAGCTGCTGGTAAAAGAGGGGTGGAGGGAAGAAGGCGAATAACAGCCCTCGCTCTCCTCTCGGTAACCCATGGATAAACCTCGGGGCTTAAAGACAGCTTCCCTTTCGTTTCCTTCCCTTACAACAACCCTGCACTGCAGACCACCCATTTATGTCCTCCCTTCCGCAGTGCCCTGAACCAACCAACCAGGATGCCGATGTCATCGCTATGCGCCTAGGCCGCAGTAAGACGCCTCTACTATCCCCTTTGCTATTGGTCAAGCTGCCCGCCCATCTTCAGGTCGCGCCGGCTTCTGCAGGCCCTTGGCCGCCTCCGGGTCGGCGCGCATCAATGACGTTAACTCTCCCCGTGACGCTCTCCGTCCTGCTTGGTCCCTTCCCTCTTCCATTGGCTGTGTAGGAGGGCAGTCCGGCGCCGCCCGCCAATGCTTGCCTTGAGTCCGCCTCCCCCGCATACGGAAGTGCTTTCTCATTGGCTGTCCGGTGCGGAGGTCATTAGCCGGCCGGTTGAGTCGCGGGGTGTTCCGCCATGGCGAAGATTAGCCGCGGCCGGGGTCCCGTTTGACGGCGTTGCTATGGTTTCGGCCGCGGCCTGCGTGGCCCGCAGGGGCGCCTCTCTCCTGTTCGGTGGGCGCAGAGCGGGGCTGCCGGCCCTGGGCTTCCCGGCGGCGGGGGGGCACTCAGGGCCGGGCCAGGACCGGGGCCCGGCGAGCCCGCGGGGGTCCTCCCCGAAGGGCCTGTACGAGCTGCTGGGGGGGCCTTTGACGGCCACCCAGGCCCAGATCAAGACGGCCTACTACAAGCAGTCCTTCCTCTCCCACCCGGACCGCAACGCCGGCAGCGAGGAGGCGGCCGAGCGCTTCACCCGCGTCAACGAGGCCTACGTGGTGCTGGGCAACGTCAGCCTCCGCAAGAAGTACGACCGGGGCCTCCTCAGCCGGGAGGACCTCCAGACGGCACGCAAGCCCTCGGGGGTCGAGGAGGAGCGGGCCTCGCGGGCGCCCTTCAAGAGGACCACCCAGGCCTACAAGCCCACCTCGAGGCCCGGCGGCAAGCCCATCTTCGACTTCGACCTCTTCTACCGAGCCCACTACCAGGAGCAGCTGGAGCGGGAGCAGTTCCTGCGGAAGAGGCGGGAGGAGAAGAAGAAGATGAAGGAGGGACAGGACATGGAGTTGAAGAAGGAGCTCGCCGAGACCCTCGTCTGCCTCTTCCTACTCGGCGTCGTGGTCGCCACCCTGGGCTTTCTGTGAGCCCGGAAGAGGGGAGAGCCTTCCCGCCACCGAGGAGGAGGAACCTGCCAAGTGGAAGCCATGGCAAAAAGAAAGGCCGTTGGGGGTGTCCTCCTCTGGGAAAACCCGTCGCAAGAAGGCTAGTGCCCTCTTGGCGCTGCAGCCACTCTGGAGGGACAGGCTGCCAGCCTCCCCTCCCCTCCGTGGTCCTCTGGCACCCACAGGACATTATGCAGCATTTTAGAAGGGGCTGAATTATTCTCAGTCGTCGGGATTCAACTCAAGAAAGCGAGGTCCCCCAAGTGTCGCTTCCGCATTAAAAATGCACTTTTCATTGCTTTAGTTCGACCCGGTCTTACCATCCACTTTTTCTAGTTGTCTTGGGTTTGACCCCCCCTCCTGGGGCAGTTTTCTTCCAAGGGAAACAAGTGGGGTTGAACCTTTCCTGCCTTTTTGTGCTCTTTAAGGAGAAGCAGATGAAGGTTTTGCCTGTGCCCATAGCAGGTGTACTCCTTTATTTAGTAGCTGCTATCTCAGCAGCTCAACATTCTTCCTTCCTCCATACACAGATAGGTATTTGACAAGGGTGTGTGGGAGTGAAGGTGTCAGATCAGTTTCCCTCTTACTGAGGTGGGTTTTTCTGCTTTTATCCTGACAGCTGAAAGCTGTTCTAGGGTCCCTCTTCACGTTTGGGCCCTGAGCTGTTTCTGAAGACAAAAGAGGGCTTTTATTTTATTTAATTTAGTAAATGTATACCTCGCCCATCTAGACCAAAGATCTACTCTGGAGAGGGTTGTCACATCTCTCCCTTTAGAGTTGGACGGAGCAACTGGGGGCCTCAGCGTTTCTGATCTGCAACGTCCCATCATCCCTAGCCAGTATGCCCAGTGGTGAAGTGATGATGGGAGCTGCAGTCTTGAACACATCTGTATGGCCACTTCTTCCACCCCTGGTTTAAAAGATGCCTCTCTAGATTCAAAAAAAAGACACATAATCTCTGTGTAGCTGATGGCGGTTTCTGGTACTTGCAGTTGCAGGGGTGATGGTGTCCTTTTTAGAATGGCTAAATTGCCGTAGATTTCATCCTGGCAGGTCCTGCATTTTGGAATGTGTCAGTGTGGGTGATTCGATTTGCATCATGCACATGGAGTTAAAACAAATGATGTAAACGTGCTTTATTTTAATATATAAAGTCACAGAGGATGATGGTAGAACTGCCTCCTGGTCCTTCCAAGTGGTGATCTCTGCTTCTAACTGACATGCTTCTGGCTTATTTTAATGATGCAAGATTTCATTCAGGAATTGGAAGGGCTTGGTGCTTGTTGATTTGCTAAAAGCCAAAGGCTGTATACCCTTAGTAGTAAGATTCCTGAGACTTCGTGTCATTGGCCCAAAACCCAAAGAAGGAGCCAAGCACATCTCTTCACCAGCCTTGTTCTTTTTCTGATCTCCCAGCAGCAGGGAGTGATGAAGCTTGGGGGTGATGAGAATATGGGACATATTTTACCTGCCGCCTCGCTAAACTGCTGTTTCACACTGGATTCACCCCCCCTTCCTTTGCTCTTTCTCTGTTTTTACTTTTGCCACCCTCCTCCCCTTTCTGCTCCCTGTTGAAAGTTAGCTTAAGGACTGCAAATGGTCCCCCTCATTTAATTAATGTATTTGTTAAATTTTTTTTCTCCTTAAAAATAACCCACTTTGATATGGTTTGTCCTGGAAATACACCTTCCTCTTTTTTTTACTCTGATCACAGTGGGGCTCCCGAGTTCAAATGTGGGCTTGGAAGAGCCAACAGTCAAGCCGTTAGAAGGTTGTTTCAAAAAAGAAAAGACTAAAGGGCAGCAAACAGTGAATGAGAGAGAGAGTGACAGAGAGAGGGCGGAAGGGGTGGAGCATGTGTTGATGAAAAAGTTCCTGTAAAAAGAACCAGTCTTGCTTCCTATAATTCTCTGAAGAGCTGAAGCAAGAAGGGAGGGAGGGGAGAAAGGAGAGGAGATGGTTGGTCCACCAGCTCAGCCGCCTCCCCAACAACTCCCTGGTGGCCGGCCCTCCTTTGTTTGTTTTCAAGAGATGGGCTGCGCTTCCTGAGCAGTGCTGCAGGGGGAGCCCTTATCCTGCTTGAGGGCTGCCCGCGGAATACACAATTCTGGCTTTGCAGTCCGGAAAGGGCCCTGCAAGGAGCCCCATACGCTCCTGCGCCTGGTTGAATCCAGGGAGGGAGAATACCTAGCCATGGGGGTGGGAGGGAGAGGAGATGTCTAGTCTTAGGCCAGGTGGCACAAAAGCGGCTGTTAGAAATTGTCTGGGAGAGCTGCTCCTGGCCGATTAGAAGATGACAAAAGAGTCAGGCAAACGGTGGAAGCGGAAAGGGAGCAGGGAGAAGTCAAATGGAAAGTGCGGAGAATCTGAAATGTGTTTCCCCAAAAATGAGCACCTCTTTTGCTGGGGCATCTGAAGCGTTAGTCCCATTTCCTTTTTGTTAGCCTCTGATTCCAGAGAAGTCTCTTGTCTTTCCGAAAACCACCCACCTCTCCCTATGGTTCCACAGAACAGCTTTCTTTTTCATCTCTTGTGTTCCGTCGTAGAATCCTAACTGCTGTTGTAAAGGCGGGACGAGCCCAGACCTCGAAAGCCATTTGAAAAATCCACCGTCCCTGTGCAGGATGTAGGGAACGGCCTCAGGTACATAGACAAGTTTTTAAGATTCCTTTTCCTCGTGGGCTGGATAGCTCAACGTTTTAAGTCTCTGACTGCCTAGCCAGAGGTTGAGAGTTCAATTCCCTGCTGTTTCTCTCCAGATAGAAGAGCCGGCCTGGGTGGCCTTGGGCAAACTGCACAGTCCCAGGCATCCTCCACCTCCCAAGAAGAAAGGGAAAGTTCAACCACTTCCAAGTATTCTCTACTTGAAAACCCCCAAAAAGCTTTTTCATAAGTCAGAACGGGCTTGAGGTCACATGAGGATAATTTATTTCCTCATTAGAATGGACTCACTTGCCTGAGCCCTCTGCAGAGTGTTCTGTGGGTGCCTTGACACTAGCACACAGCACAGTGTCCACCAATTCTTGTCTTCCTTTTGCACAAGCCCTCCCCCCCGAAATGCATCTATATTTTTATAGGGTTGTTTGTTTTTATGGTCATAAATGCTGTCTGCTGTGTCATGGTATTGTCTGTTTTTAATTTCCTGTAAACTGCCCACTGGATAGAAATGGAATACATAAAATAAATAAATGAAATAAATTTAACTAGGAGTTCACAGTTCGTAGCACAGCTGAAGTGGTAATGAGCACTCTGTACATGCCTAGAAGTGCTCTTGTTAATGCCCATGCACACAGAGGGAAAGAGGCCAGTACGGAGGGTTTTCTCCTTCCCTAGCCAGTGGCAGGATTTGGCCAGCCTTGCCCTCTCCACACAGAGAACAGCCCTGGACCTGAGCAGATTCTTTGTGTCCTGTGGGTTAGGTATTGCAGGCCTCCCTTTGTTCACCTGAGCATCCTCCGTGCCACCCCCAAGGGATTGGGTTCCTACCTCTTGCATTGCCAGGCTCTTGATTGGGTAAGACTACATTGCAGTCACTAGGGGTCCTTGCGGAGCAATGTGGAATGGCAAGCTGTCACACGCTCCTGCTCTCTCGCTGTCTCTTTTTCCCTTCCTTTTGCAGGAGGCTCTGGATGCTGCTGTTGCCAAGGCAACGGGTGGCCCATCAGCAAGCCGGAGAGCCTGGCTGGCCTTCTCTGCCAATCGCAGAGCCCGGCTGGCATCCCAGAGACAGTGGCTGCTGCCTGTAACCAAGGGCTACCCACTGGCAAATGGGGAAGCAGATCTCTCTCTTTTTCTCTCCCTTCCCCTTCTCTCAACCTAAGTGACTGGGAGGGGGCCCTAAAGGTTCCCTCCTCCTCCTCTCTCTCTCTCTCCCCCCTTCCACATCAGCAGGTACTGAACATCCAGTACACAAGCATAATAACCCGTCTCCAGAGGCGTCTGCAAGGGTGGAATCCAGCCAGTTTCACCTGCTGTGATCCCAGAAAGCTGTGCTTGGTTACGGACGTGGGAGCTGCCACAGCAAGGTTGAACTTTGCTCTCTCCACCGCCGCCACCACCACCCTGCTCTTCCTTCCGCGCAGAATTTCAGGGCAGGAAAGAGGCAGAAGCCTTCGGCCGAAATAAGCGCCGAAGGGACCCAAGTTTGCCTTGCGTAACACATGCCCTCGGATTGTGCCCCACCGTTCCAAGGCAGTGTCTTGAGGGCACCAGGTGGCCGGAAGGTGTCCTAAATCCTAGGTTCCATTTATAGACATAGCCACCCTCTGTGTGCGCCCCCCCCAGAGACTCGGTTTGATTTGGGCCCAAATCAGACTCACTGTCTCCTGCCTGTACCGGCCGCTCTGCCTGTAAACAAATCAGAGGCTCACATTCTTTCCTGATCTGGGGTTAACCTTTGGCTAGCCCCACACGTCACCTCAAACAGCAGGACGTTTTGAATGTCAGCCGCTGTTCCGGGAGAGGAAGGCCATTTGTTACCGGCTGGCTGGCTGGCTGGCTTTGTTTCTCGTGCTTATTTGTGTTTCCTTGTTAGTTTTGGTTTCCGGTTGTTAATTAAATTCATATTTCATGTTTTGATCAGCAGCACCATTTAAACGGCTCCCTCCCCTCCTTCCCTCCCCTCTCGGCAGCCGCCTCTGTTTGTCTGAGCCCCACAGTGCCATCGCCAATATTTTATCTGGTGCTTCTGCCAAACAGCACGGGCGGCTGTGCCGAGGGCCCCCCCCCGTGGCAGCTGCTCCTTCTATATTGGCGGGCTTCCTCCTCAGTGCCGACTTCCCTTTGCCACTCATCATTTTGCCCCCCACTTTCCCCCCTGAGGGCTTCCGAATGCTGGACGGAGGCGATCAAGACTTCCCCAGCCCCTCTGCGGTGTGGATGCCAACCGGTTGAGATCACAGCTTCACAAAACCCCATCGTAACACCTTTTGTGTCTGTCTGTCAGTTTCTGGCCAGCTGATTTCATGGGCTATAAACTGGGAAGCAGGCCTAAATCTAAACCCTAGGTTTTCACTCTCACCTTGCCTGGGCCTTTGCTTCATGGGGGTGATCTTTCCCACGGGCTGGTGAGGTGCCACGGTTAGGCTGTTTGCCTGGGGCTTCTAAATCGGGGTTCCAGTCGGCCCTGCGCCATGAAATGCACAGGGTGAACTCCAGCCGGTTGCTCCAGATCGTCTTGATTCGCCATAATCCCCCCCCGTGGCAGCTGCTCCTTCTATATTGGCGGGCTTCCTCCTCAGTGCCGACTTCCCTTTGCCACTCATCATTTTGCCCCCCACTTTCCCCCCTGAGGGCTTCCGAATGCTGGACGGAGGCGATCAAGACTTCCCCAGCCCCTCTGCGGTGTGGATGCCAACCGGTTGAGATCACAGCTTCACAAAACCCCATCGTAACACCTTTTGTGTCTGTCTGTCAGTTTCTGGCCAGCTGATTTCATGGGCTATAAACTGGGAAGCAGGCCTAAATCTAAACCCTAGGTTTTCACTCTCACCTTGCCTGGGCCTTTGCTTCATGGGGGTGATCTTTCCCACGGGCTGGTGAGGTGCCACGGTTAGGCTGTTTGCCTGGGGCTTCTAAATCGGGGTTCCAGTCGGCCCTGCGCCATGAAATGCACAGGGTGAACTCCAGCCGGTTGCTCCAGATCGTCTTGATCTACCTCGCCATAATGTGTTTTTTTTTGGTCAGTGGATGAGTCACCTATGGGACCTTTAGAGGAAACGTGAGATGCAGATGTAGCAAATAGTAATCCAGAATTTCATAGCCAGGATGGCGTAGTAGAAAGGGTTGATGCACTAGGACTCAGGAGACGTGGGGGAAAATCCTCATTGTGGATACTCATCGGGGGGATGACACACTCTGAACATCTCCCACACCCTGAAAACCCTCTTAGGTTGACTGTAAGACAGAAGCAACGTGTTTCAGTCGAGCAGGGAAGCCCCCTCACTCTAGCTGATGTTGCCAGAGTCTGGCCAAACGAAACCACTTCAGAAAAAGGCCGCATACCGAAAATGTATTACTTAAATTTATTCCAAAGAATATTATATATAGATAAGATATATATATAATATTCCACACTTATGTTTCCACACTTAAATGTTTCCAAAAACGTTACATGGAAGGAAAAAAAAAGAGGAAAAAACCGTTCACGAAGACAGCATGAGGTCTACCTTGAAGCTGCCAAAATTGGATGAACTTGGGGAAAGACACTCTCTTTCCTCACCCCCCCCGGCTTGACACGTGTAAAGTTTTGCAGCACGTCCCGAAAGAAAGAGTTCTGATTTGTGCGTTAACGAAAGGGGAGAGGGTGTGTGTGTCCCACGGAAGTTTCAGAGGTAGGGAGATTTGTCTGGAAACCATCCTGCTCTCCCCCTCCAGTCCTTTTAAAACCGCAGAACAATTAAACTGGCAAATTTACATTCCAAGAGTCCAGGCTCAAGGTTTGCTTGAGGAATTTTGAGGAATCAGGGGTTGGTTCTCTGGATCTGTGGGATTCCCACCCCACCTGCCTCTCCCTCCCACCCCCCCAAAGAAGTCCCTGGATGGAGGCACTGCCAAGTTTGAAACCAGCTGTCCAAGTTTGCTTCTTTGAAAAACAGAAACAAAACAAACCCTAGTCATCAATTTAAGAAAACCAAACAAAACCCAACTCAGCCTCAGTGCTAGAAAACTAGCCACTTTAAATTTGCATGCATTTAAATGAATTAACATATAATTGAACCATGGTCCTTTCTGCCCACTTTTTCCCCCACCCCTTCTTTTCCTTGCGAGGGGCAGGAAGCCAGGACAGGACGTTTTCAAGCAAATTTTGGCAACTCGTAAATTTCCCTGTAAAAGGCTGGCACAAGGATTCTCCTAACGCAATGCCCACTCCACCTTTCCTGGTTAAAAAGTGAAAGTTGAGGTCAATTCAAGGCTGCTGTTGTTGCATGTAAGCCACTATAGCCGAAAATGGACCTTCCAGCGTCAGGAGCAGTCTATCTTGAATGTTGCTGGGGATCAAGGAACCAATGGGCGAAGGTTCTCACAGGCTTTGCCTTTTGACTTCCTAGAAGCCGAAGACGGACGGTTGGTGGCTGCTTTTCAGCCCCCTATGGATATTGGCCTGGGAAACTCAGTTTAGAAAGCACTGTTTGGGGGCAAGGATTAAAATTCAGAACGATATCCTTTACATGGAGGCGGCCAAGGAGACTTCTGGTTCTCCCAATATTCAGGGCTTCACTTTCTAGATGCCCCAGCTGCTGTGGCCAGGATGATGGGAGTTGTTGTTGAAAAGCAAAACCCCAGAGGGTGAAAGATTCCTACCCTCTCTGCAGTGAAATGAAAACTGGGCAAATGAATGCTTTCAAAAATGCCCCTAAACTTTCTAACAAACTTTAAAGTTTTTTTTTTCCTTTTCAATTGCTCTTTGTGAAGTTATCTCCTTTAAATGAAACTTGGAAGAGTTCGAGATTCCTGATCAAATGTGGGAAAAATTTAATAATAATAATAATAATGAGTTGGTGCAACATTTAGTTGCAGCTTTCCAGCCTCACTCCCACTGACAAGCTATGTAAGGATCCTGCATTCACTCTGGCACCTAACTAGCTGGTTTTGTGCTGGAAAAAATAAGCCACTTTGATTGCTGATGGGACAGAAAATGTAAGAAGAAAACAGAAAGGCCGAGAGCCGAGCTGGGGGTGTTATTTGTAGGAAGCCAGGGACGAGCCGAGATGAGCCAGCGAATCTGTTCTTGACTCTGGGACGTGAGAAACGGTGCCAACAGTGCCTCTGAGCATGCACAGAGCCTGTTTCCTTTCTCCCTGCCTTTGCAGCCACTTTCCCTGCTGTTTTGCATTCACCCATGCTCCATGGGAGGGGAACGGATGCAGCAAAAGACAGGTCAACCAAGCCCCCAACTTGCAGATGATGGAGTTGAGTGGAAGGGTGGGGAGAGGGCTTTTGTTTCAAAGGCTTTTCTCTCCCCATCACGGATCCTGTGGCTGAGTAGTTGCACCACCAGCATCAGATGAAGCTGGTCATCTCTCTCCAGATCTGAGACGATACCCCAGATAGCCACGCTCCCCCCCTAAACCACTTGGCCATCACCTCCTCTGCTAGTGTCTGGGGCGGCTCTTCTCTGTCCCAGCAGGCTCAGCTGTTCCCATTATCCTTCACTGGTAGTGAGATTGGCCAGAGCAGATGGGACCTGGAGTTCAAGAACCCCTGGAGGCTGATGGCCCTTCAGGCAATAAATCTTTCCTGGGTTCTAGTCTGAAGCCAAGGGAGCTTTCCATGGTGCTGAACCAGAACTTGTTTTTTAAATGTAGTTTCAGCACCTCGGAGAGCGGCTTTTGGGTTTAGTTTAAATCCTGGAGCAAATTCCTCACCCCACTGACATGGGGAGGGGGGGGGAAGAGACTGATTTCACATGCCTGAGAGCACGGAGGTGAAATCTCACTGCATCCCTTCACAAGTGTGTTTACCAAAGGAAATCTCTTTGGTCATCTGAATGCAACATTTCAAGAACTGGAGCCTGGATTTCTGAATCTTTCTGGCACTGCAAGGAAAAAACCAGCCCCATCGAATGTTGAAAACGGGAGAGAAGGGTGGGATTCATTCCTAGGCCTTGAGGGAATGATTTGGCTCCATTTCTCCAAAGGAAATGACCAAGTCATTCCCTCTTTACCACCTGCCATTTTCCACCTCTGGAAAAGAAGGGCCAAGAGGGAGTGACTCGTTCAGAGACACAGCGGGCAAGCTCTTCAAGAGACAGCTCTCGTAACCCAAGCAAACAATTGGTATCTTGACATCTGCAAAGGCTCCCTCCGTGTGCATGGAGGGGGCATTCTTATTAGGAGAATAAAAGGTTTTCAATCTGTTCCCTGCTCCCTCCACTGGTTTTTCTGCCCATGTGTGTGTTTTTTTTTTTTTTTAAAATTCAGGTTTAGCAAGCAGGTTCAAGTTGGAAGAAAGTTTGCTTGAAAACATCCCCTTTCCTTGCCCTTAAGAAACCACCACCTCCAATTTGGCACCTTTCTGATGCCCTGGACTACAATTCCCAGAACGCTGCTGGCTGGGGATTCTGGGATTGTCACCCGACACAGCAAGAGGCACCCATTTAGGGGAAGCGGCTGGGGACCATTAGCTGGGGGAGGGGGGCTACCACTTCCTTTCTCACCGTGCATACCCTGTGGAGACCGTGTGTGTGTGTGTGTGTGTGTGTGTGTATGTTTGTGTGTGTGTGTCTATGCTGGTTATTAACCCATTCTCTAGCTGCTGAGTAACTTTGGGCTATATTTTCTACCCTGTGCTTCACAACTTCAACCCCCCCATCCCCAAACAAGCCCCTCCCACTGCCGTACTGCAAGCCCCGCTCCCAAGTCCTCTCTCAAGGCCGAATGTGAGGGCAGAAATGTGGCTGCCAGTTGCCAACCCCTCTTCCGCCTCTCTGCGCGTCTCCTCGCCCTCTCCTTCCTGCTAAAGATTGCTGCGCTCCATGTCCTAATCCCATTTGGCAAACACACCCCCAAGACACTCCCCCGGCGACTTTTCCCGCCAGCTACCCAAATGGGGGGTGCTTGTGCTTAACAAGGAATCCGCTCGCGGGCTGAAAAAGTGGGGTGGGTGGGTGGAGAGTGCCGGATGGGGGAGCAGGCAGCAGGCGGCAGCCGGAGGTGACAAAACCCAGCATTGGAAGAAGCCATGGGCAGCCTTAGATGTTATTCTCTCTCTCTCTCTCTCTCTCTCTCTCTCAAGTAAGTGTAACAGGTACAAGATGGAGGCAGATGCTAAGGCTGAGTAGACTCCCCCTATTTCTAAGCATTGGGAATGACGTGCCCCCCCTGCCCCACTCCTCCTGCCGTCTCTGTCATCCTGCCCTTGATGTTACATTTTCCAGTTGCCCCAGACAGACAGACGGGAAGAGAGGGGTGGCAAATGCAGGGGAACAGGGGCGAGGGCGGGGTGGGGGGAGAAAGCGCAGAGGAGGAGGGGGGCATCTAAATCATAGGAGGCATTGGCAGCCAGAGAGAACAGAGAGAGCCGGTTCTCTGCCACCGGCCCGTCCCACCCCCAGCAAGTCCGGGAGGGTGGCGTTCGTGGGCGAGCCAGTGTCCCGTCTCGAACCCCAGCACATCTTGGCTCGTGTCAGAGGCTCCGGTCAAAAAGGTCCTGCCGGCGGCGCCGGGCCGGCTACCGGTGCGGCGGCTCCTTCTTCTTCTGCTGGTGAGGCAGGTGAGCCTGGGGGAGGTGGATGTGTCCGATCAGGCTCAGCGGGGAGCTGACGAAGGGGGCCGTGGGGTGCGAGGCGGCCAGGGCCGGCAGGCAGCACTTTTGAGGGGGCGCAGCGGCCACGGGGATGGGGAGCACCGCCTCGGAGGGGATCAGGAAGGCCGGGGCCAAGCGGAGCTGGAAGACCTTGGGAGGGGGGCCGTTCGGCCCCCAGCACCACCTTCTGGACTCGATCAGCCAGG